AATCTTCTGCGCATTACGTTCACACAGAGGCGTATGACGTAAGATTATCTTGCGTATTCTAACTAGTACAGCCACTTGAGTTCCTAACATCTACGCCGATTAGTAGGCTAACGCAAGTTAGTTTAAATACAGAACATCATGATCTCATATTAGTATGGGAACGAAATACTTCTCACATGCCAAGAATGTTGAAAGGGGTGTTGTAGTTAGTTCTATTTCTCTCATTTGATAGTACGAAAACAAAACTTGCCGAGGTTGGAAAAACTCGGGGCTGTACCTGGTAGTGTGGCACACGATCGACAAGTGGCAAGTTTATTAAATCCCAAATGGGAAACTCTAAAAACCTGGATGACCTTTTTATTGGTGATGAATATGTAAGAGCACCGCCACAAACGGCCGTTGCTTTATGCATGACATATCCGTTTATTAAGTTTGTTGCCAATAGCCACGTGGCTGGTACCTAATCTGTTGATTATGACATTTATGTGCGCCACATAGACATATTTACATTTCGATTAAGGAAAGGTCTAGCCGTATGTGGGAAATACACCAAAGGTTCACGATGCAAAATACAGGTAAATCGCTTTTACTTATGATGCATCAATTGGGAACCAAACAAACCGTCAAAAGCCGCTGATTACAAAGATCTTTCTATGATACAACCAAATCATATATGATGATTATTATACTATTAATAATAACTTGACACAACATATGTGCACACATACGATATTCATATCTTAATGGACCAGCGATAATTGATTGATTTCAATGCGCATAAATCTTGAACAACGGAAAAACACATCTCAAATAATGCTCTGAAAAAACGGGTATGCATAAACAAATATGAACGAATTACAATAACGACTAGTTATGACACTTTTCTTGGTAGTCGATTACCGTTTTTCTAATGAAAACAGTTGTGCGCTACAAGTTGTTGGCGCACAAGTGATACTTGGAACTTTCTGTTGTTGGAAAAACTGCGACTGTAAAACGGTGACGGTAATCCCTTGACTGAAATGGTTTGTGTGCTAAACAAATAATAAATAAACGAATATTACACTAGCATGCGCATATTTAGCTGCGGGTTAACAATAGCGAACAAACAGTGGTAGGTTTTTGGCATGAGCAATTCAACAACGATTTTAACGTAAAACGGTATTTTCAAATGTTTGGACGGATGTTTATATTTCCATGTCATGTAATAAGTTGCTTGCATGCAGTTTTTATAATTTGCATTCGTTGACTATTTTGGTCAATGGGAGTTCTAGCTCACCATAAAGAGACAAAAAGTGAATGTCCTGATGTAATTATGAATATCTCCTGTAATGAATGACGAGCGCCAAATAAAGATCACTCCACACGCACATGAACAAAATTGGGGATAATGAATCAGTTGCGGCTGAACGTTATACGGAGTTATGCGATCATAGATGTTTCTATGGCAAATAAAGACAAGTGAATAGATTGTATTGATGATAACTCCTAAAATTTAGGGCTTTGTTTAGTGAACAAAGGGTTTAGCAAAATCAAGGGGTTGTGTTAACGCCTGACATGATATCGTTTAACTTTTCGGAATAAACACACGATTTCAAACTATTGTTTATGTAACATCATATTACATCTCCGCAGCTTCTCTGTTCGAACTATGAAACCTTTGCCGTTTTTAATGGGCAATGTCCGCAGTGTATGACCTTTTTGTTACGTATACGTCAACATAGTAAATGTAGAGATGAATTAAACGCTCTGAATACGGTTAAAACAATTACGCTTTTATTCAACCTTATTCGGCAAAGTTAGAAAAAGGTGCCAGGCACACAACGGAGGTTCCGTAATTTATAATACCATGTACGTGTGATTTCGGGTAGCAAACGTCCCGGAAAAAAGATAACAACACGGTATTTTTTCTTTATGACACAGCAACATTCATCGTTGACACGCTCTCGAAATGATTTTTAGTGACCATAGAATTTGGGCGTAGTAGATAGAACTATGACGTTTTGTAGAATGGGCGGAGTGCAACCAGATGGGCACGGCAGGACAGTAACAATAGATAAAAAACATAAACGATGTGTGGGGGAAGGACCGTGCATGTTATGGACAAACAATAGAACAAACAGAGAATATTGCACGTTCTGCTCAGATTGGGTATGAAAAGCAATCATTCAGTTACCTCTTTCATAAAGGCGGCTCGTCTTAGCCGAAATATCAAACTTCTCCGTTTATCTATATATGGGAGTTGATGAAAATCACGAATGGATATCGAGTGCCTGGGGCTCGGCATGCAAGATTGAATGTATTCTAATTATTTATATGGGATACACAATAATATAATTCGTTTACCTGCATGCGTGACGATCTATTTATAGATTAGTTTTTTCCTGGTAGAATTCTCAAGAAAACTAATAAAAGGAGAGACGTTTTGTCTCGAAAAAAAAAAAAACGAACCAAATATTTCATTGAGGTTGTTTAACTACTACTGATAACAAACAGTAGTCAAAAAATAAAAAACTATTTACTGACAAAAACTCTCACACACGAACATACACATATACATAATGGGTTCAACCGAAGAGAAAACATCTTTTTCATCCCAGTCATCGTCATCACAGTCAAGCCAGTCATCAGCCCATGTCATATACAATACAATTCAACCCCCTCAAGCGCAAGTTGTAATCTTTCCCGAGATTATTATGTGCGATGAGCCCGATGAATTTGAATATCATCCTATTGATGCATCTGCCCTGCTCATGACAAAGAAGATAGATCGAAATCGTGAGTATTATGCATACTGGGTTGGGCAAATCTACTTCGTATTTGGTATTATTGATTACTAATATACATCTTTCGTTTCCATAATAGGCAAACGCAGACTTATTAAAGAACGAGCTGGTAGAATAATTCAACAATAAACATTTCATTGCATGTTGGTTATTAGAGAGCAGTCTAGTCCCCCCCCATTCATTGGTTGTTATTATTGCTCGCACAAATATCCCCCCCTTCCTCTCTTTTCTTGGTTAAAGTCGGGGGCGACTCGAGAAGAACGGTAGACATATCCTCCCCCCAGTCTTACTCGCTCCCCAATATTCTCATATTGTATGCTCATATGTTTGCAAACAAAAAAAAAAGCCCCATTCTTTGTTGGGGGTTGTCGTTGAGGATGAATGCTCGGAGTGGTGTTCCGGGTATGTCGATCGGGGCAAGATGTTGTGCTGCATAACCATTTATGGTGAACACAATGGGGTGATGTGAATATTAAATATGGAGCAAAACTTGTCACATATTGTGTATACTATTTTTATATATTGTGTTAAATAATTTATAATTTAATGAAATAAATTACTTAATTGTTGCAGGAAAATAAGTGTAACCGTATCATCATTCAATTGTTGACTTGAAATTTACCAGGGATCAAACAATAATAATAAGTCCTTCTCTACCACAAAAATACTAATTTACCAAATAAAATAGAATCCGAAATGATTATGATAATATAAATGAGACAAACAATATAATCTTTCCATTCACGACAAAGTGTTGGAACGTTCAGCCCATTTACGACATTCGATTTGTAAATCAAACCCATCTTCATTTCCGGACCTGGCCACGATGGCGACACTATCGAAATTACCATTCATCTCTTTAATGGAAATGGGCGCCTTGCCCAGGTGCATTCATCAAACTAGTCCATTCTCAGAACGCAATCCCGATGATATTAACGACAAAAGGGTCCTGGAAATGAGTTGGTATTACCATTGAAATTATTCTTAATTACCATAATTGAAATAACAAGAGTATGGTGAACGCCTGGTGTGCTCCCCTCTCTCCCCCCTACCATCGACTAAAGTGGATGTCGTACCGTCTATGAACAGGTTTCCCATTTTACTATGAGAACATTTTTGCAGAAAAAAGAAAATTCGGGCTAATTTAAAAACGCCGAGCATTCAATTAATAGGTTTGGCAAGCGCCGGTGTAACATCTGTCTT